AAGATACACAAATTCTTCCACTACCTCAAATTGTCCACCATCTAACAACACTACACTACCAACACCACTATTGCTCCCACGCTGTCTACCGGCTACCATGTACTTCGTTTTGGTAGAACTTATCGTGAGCCCAATCCTCGCTGTCTCCCTCTTAAAAGGCACAAACGCCTCTTCCACTGCTCTACGGTCAATTCCGATGATATCGATGTCGTCCGCAAAGGCAAGGAGCATGTACGATCGTGTGATGATGGTACCGTTCCTCTGCACACCAGCTCTCCTAATCGCTCCTTCAAGAGCAATGTTGAACAGTAAGTTTGAAAGTGCATCACCCTGCTTCAATCCATCTAAGGTCACGAACGAGGTCGAAATCTCATCTGCAACCCTTACACTTGATTTCGATCCATCTAGCGTTGCGCGAATGAGTCTAATTAGTTTCGCCGGAAAACCATGTTCTAGCATAATCTGCCAAAGCTCATTTCTCTTCACTGAATCGTATGCTGCTTTGAAATCAATAAACAGATGGTGAGTCTGCAAGTTGTACTCCCGGAATTTATCAAGGATTTGACGCAGGGTAAACATTTGATCCGTCGTTGATCGGCCCTCACGAAAACCAGCCTGGTATTCACCGACGAAGGACTCCTCAAGCGGTCTCAATCTGTTAAACAGAACGCGTGACAGTATTTTGTACGCCGAATTCAGAAGAGTTATTCCTCGATAATTGGCGCAATCGAGTCTGTGCCCTTTTTTGAATAATGGGCAAATGAGGCCATCCAACCAGCTAGCAGGCAGTTCTTCGTCCTCCCATATCTTCGTTAGAATACGGTGGATTGCTTGATGCAGCTGCTCACTTCCGTGTTTGAAAAGTTCGGCCGGGAGCTCGTCCTTCCCAGCAGCCTTAATGTTTTTCAGCTCACGTATTGCCTTTTTAACCTCGTCTAGCGTTGGAGGCTCCACAGCTTGATCGTCGTCTGCGATGTTTACTCTGTTTCTTCGATACTCCCTCACTCTCTCCATTCAACAATGTCTCAAAATGTTCTTTCCACCTGGCAGCCACCATTGTTTTATCTGTCAGCAAATTCCCCTCAAGGTCATTGCACATGGCGGGAGATGGCGCTGTTTTACTCCGCACACCATTGACAGTCGCGTAGAACCTTCGCATATCGTTCTGTTCCATACTTTCTTGCGCCTCAGCAATCACGCGTTCTTCGTATTGCCTTTTCTTTCTGCGGTGGGTTCGTTTCTCAGCTGCCCTTGCTACCTTGTACCGCTCTCTGTTCAGCCGGGTACCAGACACTAACATCCGGCTTCTGGCAACGTTCTTCTCATCCGTCAACCTCTGGCACTCCTCATCAAACCAGCCATTACGTGGTCGTCTTTGAGCTGTACCTATCACTTCTTGTGCTGTTGTGTTCACCGCTCCGTGGATTGTGTTCCACAGATTGTTGAGGTCCTCGTTCACGTTGATTTCGCTAATCCGCTCATCAAGCTTCTGGCGGTACTCTGCAGCAACACCTTCTACTGACAAGCGATGGATATTGAAACGCATCGATCTCCGGTTCGTTGAATTCGTAACGGTCGATAGACGCGCCCGAATTTTGCAGACAACAAGATAATGATCTGAGTCAATGTTAGGCCCCCTAAAAGTCCTTACATTAATGACATCTGAGAAGTGCCGGCCATCCACCAACATGTGATCGATCTCGGTGCAAGTTTCGCCATTTGGGTGTCTCCAGGTGTGCTTTCGGATATTCTTGCGTGCAAAGTAGGTGCTACTGATGGCCATACCTCTAGCAGCGGCGAAGTTTATCAGTTTCAGGCCGTTATCATTGGTTACTGTATGTAGGCTCTCTGTACCAATGATTGGACGAAAGAAATCTTCCCTCCCGACCTGCGCATTTGCATCTCCGATTACAATCTTCACGTCGTGTTTTGGGCACTCATCATAAGTTTTATCGAGACTGTCATAAAACGCGTCCTTCACGTCATCGGATTTATCGTTGGTTGGCGCATAGATGTTGATCAGGCTGTAGTTGAAGAATTTGCCCCGAATCCTTAATACACAGATGCGGTCGCTTACCGGTCTCCACCGCATAACACGCTTCATCTGCTTCCCGATCACTATGAACCCTACTCCATGTTCTGCCCTATTGCCACCGCTGTGATAGATATGATACTTGAAGGAAGTGTTGGCGATGGGATCCACCGCCCGGAATTCACGTTCTCCGGATCTAGGCCACCGTACTTCCTGAATAGCAGCTACGCTCACATTCACTTTTTGCAGTTCACGAGCCAAAAGGCCCGCTCGTCCAGGTTCATTTAAGGTTCTGACATTCCAAGTACCGAGTTTCCATTCATTGTCCTTATTTCGTTGCCGGGTCGGTTGCCGAAAATTCCGTTCGTTGTTTTCTCTTTCTTCGTTTTTCTGAGTAATGTTGGGGGTTTCAGTATGCTACCTTACCGGGGTCGCGATACCTACATCATGTTGGTGGGGCTGCCACCTTAGGTGTAGCTGACGTGATACAGCATTTCTTATTCAGCCGCTCGCTCCGAGACAGACGCTGTTTGAGCCGCACCTCCATGGTGAACAGACGCTCGAGGGTCGCACCTCCTCACTTTGCTATCACCACGATCCGGATCCATGTATTTTTATCATGGTGACATTGCCCAGGCTACGCTACCAGCATCTTTTGCTGGACGTCTTTGTCATCGGCTGACCCGTGAAAGCGTGAGGTAGGAACTTGTGAGGACCAGAGCTGTTGGGACAACACTCCTTCCAGTTTGTCGACTCACCATTTGTAACCTATAACGCTATAACCGTAAGTTGTCCAAATTTTGTTTCAACAGAAACTTCCAAAGTTTCAAAAAATTTGGTTTCAAATAAAGAAAGAATTCTATGTTTGTCTATGAACAATGATGGCAACGCCACCACAGGATCCATCAAGACAATCATTTCTTTAAATTAAATAATTTGCGTCCCTCTTAACCTTATGGTCAGCTTTAAGGACATTTCATTTATAACGGCAATATGCACGTTATGAACTCTCAAAAAGTTAAATAGCCCGTCTCCATTATCTTTAAGAGATCGAGCATTCCAATTTTAAATATTTAATGCTTAAAAATCCATTGCTGAATTTTAAAGTAATGACAATATTGTTTGCAAATTTTACTCCAGTTTGAATAGCATCAAACACGAAGTTAGATTTAAGCATATCAGAAATCATGGCAATTAATGATTTCTGTAAAAATGTCATTTTAGGGGCAGTAATGCTTCCAAAGTCAAAATTGTCAAAATTTCCGTTAGAATTACGTTGGTTAGTATTTTGATTTCTACCCGCTGCAATAGCAGCATAGGTAGCTCCATTAACTCGATGCACATTTTTAGCAGCGAGGTGAGTAGGTATAGATGAAAAATTTGAAGCAGGGGTGATATTTGTAAGAATGTAGAATTTGTTCCTCACTTACTGTTTTTTTTATTTAATTCTTTATTTAAGAGATTTTTAGCCTTAGGCTAGTTCATCTCTAGCCTCACTGACTGTTGTTAACAGCAGATGAAGTTGTACCTGGTTGGAAATGTTAAGTGTTTCCTACCCGCGCTTAGAACGAGATTGTAGGATCGCTTTGCGAGTCTTACATTCCCAAAAATTGGATTTGTGGTTTTCACCATAATTTGAACATTTAAATTTCTTAGGATCTTTCTTCACAGGACAGTCGTCCTTTGCGTGAGAGGAATCACCACAATTCATACATTTAGCGGGCATGTAGAAATTTTTAGTTCCGAGACCCCTTCCCTGGCACTTACGGCATTGAGTGAGGTTTTGGAAATTTCCTCCAGTTTTCCTGAAGTGTTCCCACTTCACTTAGACATGGAGCATAAGGTTAGGTTTTTCCAAGGCCCTAAGGTTGTTTAGTTCACTAGACTTGAAGTGAACTAAATAAAAATCATTAGAAATCCCATTGCGCAATCACCAGGACGGGATATAATTTTCATTTTAACTCCAAGTAATTTTGCCAGTTTATCTTTGATCTGATCCAGGAATTCACCACTGGGCTGTCTTTTCATGACAACCTTGAACACACGTTCAGTTTTGGTGTCGTAAGTAAAAAAATAGCGCTGCTTCTCAGTAAGATACTTGAGAAGACATTTAAATCCGTCCAAGGTTTCAGCCAATACACGGCATTCACCCCGACGTCCAATTTGTAGTGAAAACTTAACTTTCACGAAGTTCAAAAGTTTCATGCGATGAGCATGGAAATCGGAAGTGGTTATCACAATAAGGGGAATCTTTTCCTTCTTGGCATTAAGCCGGGAAAGTTTACCACAATTTTTCTTGGATGATGGATCATTCTCATCATCCTTGAGAAAATTCAATTGATTACTCAAATTAATTTCATCAGAAGAGGGATCAAGAGTTTGCCCCTTTCTTTTGCGTTTAGACGCCATGGCGCAGCAAATTTTTATCCAAATCGACTTCCAAGCAGATTACTATAAGAAACTACAGGATCGAAGAGGAATTTTACAAATCGATATCCAAGAAGGATTACCTCGGGTAGGGTCCAAACAAGGATCGAAGAGGAATAAGAGTTGAACAAGGTAGAAATTTCACACGCTGAGCACTGAAAAGTGCTGTTTATATTTGTTGTAGCTTTAGGTAGTAGTAACACTTCCTTCAGCTAAAAGCAAATAGATCCGCACGGCAAGAGAGCACAATGCGAATTCAAGGATTTTGGCCTGATTTCCGTTCCAGAAGGCATACCCGTCACATTATCTCTTTTGTAATAGATTTGAACAATAAACTTGATTTTTTCCTCTAAGGATGACTTGATATTTTTTGTTATTTTTACATACGTACGACGGACAACGAGTGAGTTTCCCATTTGGAATGGAAATTGGAAACTTCATGTGACGCAAGTCATAAATGAATCGTATTTCACTCCATCCGTGTCCTTTGCACTCCCCACTGACTCATATTTTCTCTCGTATTTTATTTATCCATTTCTAGTTCGGTGAATGCTGAGTGAATTTTGGTATTTTTGTTGTGGCTGAAGAAATTTTATACATGCCTATATTTTTCCGTTGCTGATCCAGCTGTCTATCCTGCGTTGTCGCCACCATATCCTGGAGTGAATACGCCCGCTGGTTCGCTCGGTGATAGATAAATAATTGATTGAAAGTGGTTTGTTCCAAAGCGGCGCGCGGTGGGGCGAAAGCCGAAAAGAATAAAGTTGTGTGTTATTTTGCTGTGCGTGAAAGTCATCAGCGAGAAGTGCCAGAATCAGCTGAAACCAGAAGGGGAAAAGAGCAAGTGGAAGTGAAGTGGTTGTATATAAATATTGATACAAGGGGCCAGTGCCCGCGGAAATTTAGACGGTCATGCTGTGAGGATATGGGACAGCCGGCAGTTTATGAAGTTCCTTTTATGTATTGGTAAGTGTGATGGCCTTTTTGATTTTCGGGTGGGTTCGGGATAATTAATTTAGCTTATAGGAGATCAACTATTTCACCGATGTATCACCGTTATCATTGGGGTGACGTGTGGTGGATTTGGCCACATAAAGAAAGTTGATCTATGATACTTGGCATTGAATTGTGTAAGCAATGGCAGTGGGTGGCTGTTCTGTAATTTTATTTGGTTGCATATATTTGATCAAGTATTTAATGAATATCAAAACAATACGGAATGTTCTTTACGTGTGTATATAATTTTTGGATGCAAATTTTCGTAGGTAAAATTATATGCATGACATTAATTCACTTCAACTTTGCGCAGTGGCGATATCGTAACCAATAAGGTACAACCGAGGTGTGATTATTGCTAGTTGAAAACTAATTAATTCACTTCAAACAGTCTGCATGGCTGTTTGATGAAGAAAATTATAATCTCGAAATACATGTGTCAGAGTGCAAATTTCTGCTCAAAATGATGCACATGAATGAAGCGTCATATATCACATGAGGTTACACTAATGATCGTTAGTTATGAGTCTAATTTGTGTGAACAAAAATACCAGTTTACACGCAAGGATGTTTACATCACCAGAATATTAAGATTTTTTGTTCAGTGTTTAATTCACTCTGACACTCTGTTCACAGTTCACAATAACGACAACACAATCTACTGTAGGAAAATCTTCCCCCTCCACTAAATAACCTTTCTGTTCCACGTTCTCACTTTAGGAAAAGTTATTTTATTTATGAAAGCACATCCACCGGGACTTCACATCAGTATTGCTTTGTATCCACATTTAGGTACTGTACCAACTTATCGCAAGGGAAATGAAACCATGCAAATTTCTCAACCACACATTCCTACATGTCCCACTCGCAGAAACACTTCCTGCATGCACCGACGAGAAACTTTCCCAGTCAAGGACATCTGCACCATGTTTGTATAGCAGTTTAGATGCGTTGACAAAACCCTTGCTCTTGGAGCTCTGAGCGGTGTCCTACTATTACTACGATGTGAAAACTGTGTCGCTTTCGAATTGCACTCCGGATCCGAGAAGCATATTTCACCATTTGCATGATTTTAATAGCCTGCTGAAAAGTCATGTTATCCCAGAAAAAGGAAACGGAATCCAACAGAGCTTAAAATGTAAATGATACTCGTACCACATCCCGAACATACAACTTTCAGGAAGTCAGTGTGACAACTTTGTTGGAACAATATTGCTTAGGTAATTGGCATATACATGCTCTCTGAATTCTAACGAATTGACACATCTCTGTGGCAGTTGATTGCGTAAGAACTTCGTCGGACACCGGCAGCTTCAGATTACTAAGTAACTTTATTAGGACCAACACCCCTCCCCTTCCTTAACATTCTACGTATCCCAACGTTACCCACCTATCATATTGAACTCAACCGAAATCAAGATATGAATGCGAAACACATGAGAATCCGCGGATGCGAAAAATCGATATCATCATTCCGCTACCGGATCTAAATTTAGCACCACTCCACCATCCGGCCTCCACTACTGGCGGTGATGGCTTTGGTAAAGCACAACACCCGACAAATCCCGTCATCCCCATGTCGCCACCTTCAGTGAACAAACAGCCGGCAGCTCACCTTTATCGGTCGTTTGAAAACGTCGTCGTCGTCGTTCGTCGGTTGGCTCAGTTTAACGAAAATGAGAAATGAACCTTAGCATAACGTCACTTTCAGGCCTGCCAGCAGCGAGCACCTGAATATGGAAACAACATTGTGCATCGTAAGGACTAAGGAGTAATGATAGCTTGACGCAAAAGGAAGACACAATTTGAGGAGTGCCTCCAGCAAAACGGCAAGAGTTTTGCGGATGAATTATGCATGTTGGCCTCAAACCGGATCGGATGGCCGTCGAAACGAGTGGTGTCCAGGTTTTGTGATTTTTACTTTTAAGAATGTACAATCAACATGATCTTATACAGAACAGTGAGGTCAAAAACTAAAAGGACATGATCGAAAACTTTAATTTTGACGTGAACTTCAAATCTCTTTAGCAAGATCACTTTTTTCCGGATAAGGTGAAGGTTTGGATCCTCCCAAACCTTCACCTTATCCTCAATCAGAGCCGTTTTTATTGCATTGCATTTGAACGTAGTAATTCATATATTGTAGTGGAAACTGTCCTGCATATACTTTAACGCTCTTATTCTAACTGCTTAAGGCAAAACTATTTGGGAGTGAATAGATCTCCAATCAGAGTTCACAACAGGAAATGCATGACAATTACTATTACCGGTCATGACCATCTTCTCCGTTACGTGGAAAGGAAGGATATTGTTGTTGTAGCACCTACTTAACTGGAGGCCAGCGACCCACCGACGCTCTCTAGGTGCTACGGAGTTGGATAGCTGGGAAGAAGCTGGGTCAGGATTCGTTCAAGCAGGCGATGCGAGCATAGTAATTGTTTGTTTAGGAGGAGCTTGTGAGTAAGCTCTAAATCTTCTTCTCAGTAACGAAAAGTTGCTTTAAATTTTGAATATAATTAACAATGTCATTTGATAACTTTCATCAGTTACCAACACCGAAAGTAAGCATGGGAAATTTATTTCGAGTTTTGGCGCTCATGGCAAATCCACCCATAGCACAAATCAGCAAGCCGAGAAAAACGTTTTTTAAGATTGCATCGCACCATACTCAGGTAACAATTTGATGCTTAACAAGTGTTGTTTAATCGATTTTAATTCAGCCTTAGATTGAACAATTGCTGTACATAGACCACGTTAACTTTTGTTCAGCTTTTAAACATCTAAATCTGGTGATTTTAATCAGCCAAAAGCTGAACAGTAATGTACATTTTAAGCTTTTTAAGGCATTACATAACAGTCTCTTCCAACCCTTGTTCAGCCTTCTAGTTTTATTTCAAAAATAATAATGGAAGACTGCTTCATATCTTATGAATTTATATGGAACTGCTTTAAATTGTTGCTGACTAATTGAATTTACATATTTATGTTGTTTAAAAATTACCTTTGGATTTTGGGATTCGAACCAGTTCGCTCGGTGATAGATAAATAATTGATTGAAAGTGGTTTGTTCCAAAGCGGCGCAGTCGCTGAATCACAGGCATCAACCATACCTGCTGGACCATTTAAGCATATGTGTGGCAAAAGGTATGACCATTAACTTGAAGCACGTCAAATTTAAGTTGAATAACAGCAACCGGAAGAGTATTATACAGCAATGCAGAATTGTAAACAACAACTAATATTTTTGAAATGCGGTCTGACACTTCAGTGCAATATAACAGACAAAACATCCAAGCAACACACATCTATCAAAATAGGTTGCTGCAACTTGATTGTGACTGAAATAAGGTGCATACAAGTAACCACAACTGTTAAGTGACAAGTGTGCTGCTAGGGCACAGGAATACAAATGTATACTTCCGACGTTGTCGCAGCCCACATCTACCAGCTATTCCTAAAAATCTCCTTTTCCTTGTCTCTACTGCTGCCTTACCTTACCTTACCAATCAGGCTAAGGCCTTGTTGTCCTCTGCTGTCCGAAGAAGTCGTCTCCACTCTACTCGATCCATGGCCACAGTTCGCCAGCCTCGTAGTCTGCGAAGGGTCCGCAGGTCACCTTCTACTTGGTCGATCCACCTTGCCCGCTGCGCGCCTCTTCTTCTTGTTCCTGTTGGGTTGCTTTCTAGAACCATTTTCACTGGGTCGTCGTGCGGCATTCTTACGACGTGCCCAGCCCACCGTAGTCGCCCAATTTTTGCAATGTGGACGATGGATGGTTCTCCCAGCAGCTGGTGCAATTCGTGGTTCATTCGCCTCCTCCACGTTCCGTCATCCATCTGCACTCCACCGTAGATGGTACGCAACACCTTCCGTTCGAAAACACCAAGGGCGCGTTGGTCCTCCACGAGCATAGTCCAGGTCTCGTGGCCGTAAAGGACCACCGGTCTAATCAGCGTCTTGTAGACAGTCAACTTCGTGCGGCGGCGAATTTTATTCGACCGGAGCGTCCTCCGGAGTCCAAAGTAGGCACGATTCCCTGCCATAATGCGTCTTTGAATTTCTCTGCTGGTATCATTTTCGGCGGTCACCAGTGAGCCCAAATACACGAACTCATCGACCACCTCGATTTCGTCACCGTCAATCTGAACTCGGGGTGGGAGGCTAACATTGTCTTCCCTAGAACCTCTTGCTTTCATATATTTTGTCTTTGATGCGTTGATGGCAAGTCCAATCCGTCTAGCTTCAGCCTTCAGTCTGATGTACGTTTCCGCCATCATCTCAAAGTTCCGTGCCATAATGTCAATGTCATCGGCGAAACCAAGGAGCTGGATGGACTTCCTGAATATCGTGCCACTCGTGTCTATCCCAGCTCTTCTGATCACACCTTCTAACGCGATGTTGAACAGCAGACACGAAAGTCCATCACCCTGCCGTAACCCCCTTCGAGATTCAAAGGGACTCGAGAGTGTCCCCGATACTCGAACAACGCACATCACTCGATCCATCGTCGCCTTGACCAATTGCGTCAGTTTATCCGGAAGTCCGTACTCGTGCATAATCTGCCATAGCTGATCTCGATCGATTGTGTCGTATGCGGATTTGAAATCGATGAACAAATGATGTGTGGGCACGTTGTATTCGCGGCATTTCTGCAGAACCTGCCGAATCGCGAAAATTTGGTCCGTGGTAGCGCGGGCACCCATGAATCCCGCCTGGTATTGCCCCACGAACTCTCTTGCATATGGTGACAGACGGCGGCATAGAATTTGGGAGAGTACCTTGTAGGCGGCGCTCAGCAGTGTGATCGCGCGGTAGTTGCAGCAATCCAACTTGTCGCCCTTTTTGTAGATTGGGCATACGACACCTTCCATCCACTCCTCCGGTAATATCTCCTCCTCCCAAATCTTGGCAATTACCCAGTGCAGCGCTCTAGCCAGTGCTTCACCACCGTATTTCAATAGCTCACTTGG